TTTTTTTCGTTCTTTGGTTTTTCTTTTTTTCGGGGGGGGGGGCAGGGAGGTGGGTGGAAAGGGTGCAAGTGTCATATAGCGTCCAATGTATGTACTGTAGCCCTGAGATTGATAACTGTCGTTGAGATCTGAAGTCCTGAAATTAGGGCGTCGAGCCCTAAATGATTAGTGGATTGGGCGCCAATTTTTAGGGTGCCAGACGGCCGGTTCCAGGGGAGCGAAATGCCTTCCCGGAATTGAAGCTCGTGCATCTCGACAACCACAAAAATGCATCATTTCCAAAGGATATCAATCTTTTGAGCTCGACGAGCTGCATTAGCTAATGGCTTTTTAAAGAAATCTACTGCGTGATTGCCGGGCAATACGGGAGGACTGCCAAAATTACCTCTCTGAAAGTGATATCAAAGGGCTGGGCGGTTTTTTGCGGGGTTTTCCAAAAACGCGCCATACGTTTCAGACCTGAGATATCCACTTGATATGACAGCAAAATATTGTACCTCCCAAGGCCCCACAGGGCTCCAGTGACCTCCGGAGGCTCAGTGTAGGGACATCCTTGGAAGCCAGGGTAAGGGCTCAAAGCGACAAATAATGTTCCAGATCACTGGGACCAGCTGCAAAACCTCAACAATAGTCCGTCTGGAACATTTGAAGGAGCAGACGCGGTAGTTTTGCCTCGAGACTTGGCAGCACATTGAGTGTTGAGCGCAGCAAGTAAGTATCGCAATTGACTTAGTCTCCGTCCTCCGTACTCTCAGCGGAACGTGGCCGGACGCTTCTGATTCTGCAAGTTACAAGGGGCACGACGGGTGCTGCAGGACCCAACATTCTTTCAGTGACGCAGTGGCACAGATTACATTCCCAGGCATTCCCCAGCCAGCCTCTTTGCAGACTATCGATTCTACCACACCATCGGGGACCGATCCAGAACTTTTCGGCCGGAATGCAGTACCAGATGCTGAAGAAGAAGCAAGAGCACTGAGACTGGGGCACATGAAAGCGACGTGCAAACGTGCAGTTTACATAAGTGCGGGATTGAACCCTCACCTGGGATGATCGACACCTCATCATTGCGATTGTCCCCTTGTACGGATACAAGTACTTGGCAAATCCCGATGGGGCCCTGCGATGGGATCGATACCGATTCAAATGAGCTGCAGGAACACAGACGCTTGGGTTCTCAGCAACAACCTTACGGAGTACTACTAAAGACATGGTCCATACATGAGGTGAAATAATTGCCAATTGACGGTTTGCCGCGTTGATACTACCAGGTTGCCAGTCGAGTCAGTCTCTTCTCCTTTTAGTACTTGTACACGCTCCGGTCACTCTCTCACCATCCTGAAAGCCACAGGTTTTGGTTGGTTCCAAGACCCCACAAAGGAAGGAAAGAACAACCGGGCAATGACAGGGCCGGGATGCCTCGCCGGGTTACGTGCGCTAGCGGGCAGGCGGCGCGAATCATCTCCACAAGCGCGTGGGTTCCAAATTCGGTAAAGGACGGCGCCCGCAAAAAGGATACGAACCATCTCCGCCCTCATCGGTCTCTCTCTTCCTTTTCCATTCTCCTCCTCGCACTGTTACGCCGTCGATCCTTTCTAACGTCAGAGGGACTCCTCGATGCTTTGTACGCTTCGAAATTTTTCATCGCAGAGGCCTGCCATCAGAGCGCCTACTCGTGGAACTTCATGTACTTGAAGTACCTAGTCAACGACCCACATTGACGAACCCCTTTCTGGACTTCGGACCTTGAACGATAAAGGGTTGCTTGAGCTCCCGATCCCTGGCCTGCCTTGGGCACCGAAACCGACGTGTCGCAGCGTATTCAAGAGGTCTGAGATGGCCTACTTCTGCCGCTCTCGTTAAGGAAGGCTTATTCCATCATAAGTTGAAATATCAATATCCAGCGCCCCTCGGTTGCATCGCCAACGAACGGCAAGTGGCCGAGGCCCAGTGAAAGGTTGCCGAATTCTAATCCTTTGGCTTTCAGAACGGTACTGATCCCCTCCGCTAGTTTAATGTCTCAGTCTAAATCATAATTGCTCGCTCATAATGGTTTCCTTTTTTGGTCTCAAGGTTGGGGGTAAGAAGAAGTGAGTGGTCTTCCAAAGCCGGGGCCAGAGAACGCCCGCGAACCGCTGATGCCACAGGAAGTCTGAGGGCAAATCCGGCCAAGAGAAGCAGCCGCAGCAATGGAAGCGCATAGACCAGAACAAGCTGGGGGAGGGCCAGTTCTTCGGCCAGAACATCAACCAAAAGGGTGCCGTCAACGGTAGCATTCGATCAGTCTCGCGAGCCGGCACGCCCCAGTCGGTCGCCAGGGGCAGGTCTCCGTATACCATCCACGACACGCATAACCTCGCCGCCGCCAGCATGTACAATTTGAGTACCCTCGGCCCCGGACGACCGGGAAGTCAAGCGAGCACACACCTCAAATCACACGCCTCCGATGCGAACCTGCGGACTAGGTTCGGCGCGAACAACGGCTCGTCGACGAGCTTGGCTGCCCCGGCACCGGGATTCGCAGCCCGTTTCGGCGCCAATAACAGATCCTCGTCAAGTTTGGCCGCGCCGGGACCGGGATTCGGGGCGCGGTTTGGCGCAAACAACACGTCTTCGCTGAGCCTCGCCCCTGCGGGCTCCGGATATGGGTCACGTCCAGGAACCCCCGGCAGGTCCAAACCCTGGGTGAATCCATTGGATGTGCACTTTGTGAGAAGTGTACCGTCTGGCCCGCCCACGCCTAAAACGCCGAAGTCTCCGCTTGTCGACTCGATGCAGCTGCCGCCGACACCGACCACGGCAAATGCGGAAACTGGGTCCCTGTTTGGCGAGGAGGTAGACGACATGGTGGATGCCGTCATGGCCACGGTCAAGAAGCGGGAGGAAGAACTGAGAAAGGCAAAAGAAAGGGAGAGGGAGCTCGAGAAGCAGAGAGAAACAGCTCGGCTGGAGATGGAGAGATTGGAAAGACAGAAGTCTACGGAGAGTAGTCTGTCTTGCAGGCGTCCCTCGGCTCCACAGCTACAACCTGAGCCGCAACGGGAGACCGCCGACATTCCGAACATGCAAGGACATGTATTCAAAAGCGACCATGACGCCACGCCAGGCAGCCGCAGCGGCCCAGCACGGGGTCCCCTGATGCATCAAGGACCGCCCCCTACGGGGCCTCCTACCCATCGTCTCCCTCAGCCGCCAGGTCAAGGTCCGCCCCGTCACGGCCCCCTTGGCCCTTCTGTCGAAACCGACGGTCTCAGCGCGCGAGGAACCAGGACGGATGGTTTTGGTCCTCCCAGTCCTCGCCTCAACGGCTTTCATCACGATTCTCTGCTTCGGAGCGCTGGCCCTCCGCAGAACAGTCCCGCCCTTCCAGGTCACTCCGGGAAAGTCCCTCGCCCATACCAACTGCCGCCTGTTCAGGGCGCTGGCTCGCTCGGGCCCTTGCCGCATGCTCTTCAGTCACCAAGTGTTCCGCTCAGCACCCCTAGTATCGACAACGAACCCTCGCAGAGTTTTGCGCTGAAAAGCCCACAACCCAAACAACAAGACCCAGTTATGTTCAACACCGAGCCTGATGCTGCTGCGAGTAACGGCCGAAGCACACCACCACCGGCTACGAGACAAGGGCTGGAGCCATTGATTTCCACCTTGGCATCGCCCTCCACTGTAACCTCTCCATCGGGCTCGATTCGGAGACTGTCAATGGACGATGAAGTGGTGGAGCAATTTGCACGGCCCATTATCCAGCATGTCTCCGCGAGGCGGGACACTTTCCAGCTCAACAGCCCCCGCCGACACAGCTTGTCGATGAAGATTGAAGAGCTGGAGAAGTCAATTCTCAACGCCCAGCATACCCACCACGCGCAAAGGTTACAGGCCCCAGAGGCCAACCGCGCCAGTGCGAGCAGCAGTGTCTACAGCAACGGCATCAAGGAAGATGAAGACGACGATGGGCCCATCCTCCCGATTCACCCAGCGCCGCTTCGCATTCCATCGCCCATGCCGCCACATGTACCAACCCCCGCCGCCGCCGATCGGCCACAGAGTCCCATCCGGGCCCCGGCTAGACGAGTGGCTTTACCGCGCCGCCCTGGACTGGAGGAATACGGCGTGTCGAGCGACCACGTAGCCTTGCGGAACCGAGCGGGGACACCGACATCCGCATCAAGGAGCGGCAGCACGGACAACTACAGTTCCCACGGCTCTCCGCCATCTCGCACCAACACGCCGCAGCATCGACATCCTCTCTTGCGTCGAGACCTCGCTCAGCCAAGCCCGGCCCCAACGGTCGACACATTCGAGCGGGCGCGACCGAGCCCCGTTGTCGACACCGGGTTCAACTTTGATTTTGGTCAGCTTCCGGGGCTAGCAGCGCCGCCGACGCCAGACTCATCTAACTGGTCGCTGGCGTCGCCGACCGAGACGGGTCCCGGACAGGTCCCTGCCTCAGAACCTGTGCAGACACACCCCAAGAGCGAACCATCGGGCAAGTTCACCCGCGCGAACGTCCCACCACCACTGAATCTCAAATTCGACTTCTCCCCCGACGCGCCCTCGCGGGACCCAACGTTAGGGCTTTGGACACCACCGATCCGGTCGGTACCCACCGCAGCGGCGACAGCCGACGGCAGGCCATCCACGTCTTCTGGGCCGGGGGGAAGTGGCAACGGCGGTAATAAACTCGCCGCTTCGCCAAGCTTGATTTCCCAATTTCCAGAGTATGTGACGAGAAATGACGACCGGGCGTCGTTCATGGGGATTGGCGTGGCGCGTGGGCCGAGCATAAGGGAGGTCAGAAGGCCCAAGACGTCCGCGGGTGGGAGAAAGAACCCGGTGGATTCTTTTGGCACGGGTTTCATCTAACACTTCCCGCTGGTCCTTGTCACATGTCGGATTGGTAACACCATTTCTTCTATTTATACCCTTCTATTGAGATACAGTGCATGTTACAACACATCCAAATGAACCTTGCCCCGATGGGATGCAGATGATGAACAAATTCACCGCTTCGCATGCGCTCGCTATGTATAATCCCAAACATCAGACATGTTTGCCTCCCCAAATACGGGGTATAACGCCGATATATGTCCCCTTCCAAGCAAACAACATTATCCAACACCTTTCACCCTCACTCGTCAACTTTGGTCATTCAGCCCAAGAAATCCCTCACCGCTCCCCCGACGTTCTCGACATCCAGCAAGAACGTATCATGCCCAAACAAGCTCTGAACCTCGCTCAACTCGTGGTGCTCCACCATCTTGTTCCCCGCCTGCCTCAGCGCCTCAGCCACCTCGCGCTGCTGCCAGGCAGGGAACAGGATATCGCTCGCCACGCCCATGACCAGCACCGGGTGGTCGCGCAGCGCCGCTAGGCCCGCCACCAAATCGGCGGGGGGTTTCGGCACGCCCTGGTGCGGGAGACTTTCGGCATCGAGCGTGGTCAGCATCGCCGACTCGGGCTGTTCCTGGTAGGGCTTATCGGGGAGGGTCAGGGTGCACGCTGGTGAACCAGTCCTCGCCGCGGGGGTGGTCCCGGGGGTGTGGTACTCTGCGCGGCGCGCAGCGGTGGCGATTTGGTTTTCGCGGCCCAGGTCGAAGAGGTCCATGGCTTTGCTGACGTAGAGGAGACTGTTGGGGTCGTAGGTGAGGCAGAACTTTTCACCGGCGTGGTCGAGGTATGTCTCGACGAGGAAATCGGGGCAGAGAGCGGGTGGTTTGGAGGCGTCGGCGCGGCGCCGGCCGAAGCGCTGCTCCCATTCGGGGCCGGAGCGGTAGGTGATGGTGGCGATCTCGCGCGCGAGCTTCATGCCCACGTGCGGCGGCACTCGACCGTAGTAGAAGCCGCGGTTCCAGTTCGGGTCGTTGAGGATGGCGCGCCGCTGCACGTAGCGCATGGCGATGCTGTAGGGATGGCTGCGCGCGCAGGCCGAGATGGAGACGACGCGCCCTACGCGCGAGGAAAATTCGACGCCCGCGGCGAGGGATTGCATGCCGCCCATGCTGGAGCCGACGCTGGCGTGGAGCTTGGAGACGCCCAAGTGGTCGAGCAGGCGGAACTGGGCGCGCACCATGTCTTGGATGGTGAGGATTGGGAAGCGGGTTGCGTAGCGCTTGCCGTCAGACGGGTCGATGCTCGAGGGGCCGGTCGAGCCGTAGCACCCGCCGATGACGTTGGTGCAGATTATGAAGTATTTGTTTGTGTCGAGGGCCAGGCCGGGGCCGATGAACTTTTCCCACCAGCCTGGCTGGGGGTTCTCGGGGGTTGAGTGGGCGTGGGAGGAGGCGGATAGGCCGGTGTGCAAGAGGATTACGTTGGAGCGAGCTGCGTTCATGTCGCCCCATGTCTCGTATGCAATGTCGAATTCATGAAGCAGGCCGCCATGGTCGAGCAGGAGCGGCTCAGCGCAGTGGTGGATCTGGGTTGCGCCGACGGTATAGGAAGGTTCGGGGCCGCTCTGGTCGGACCTGGCAGAGGCGGCCTGCTTCTCTAGGGTGGCCGATCGGGTCTCGAGGGCATCGAGGCACGGGAACTTGATGGCCGGATTCGAGGGTGCACCGCTGCGTCGAGCTGGCTGTCCGTGAATGCATCGCGGGGCTGATGCTTGCCGCCGAATGTGCTCCTGCAGCGCATTGTTGCAGACAGGCCGCACGGGACGGCCGCACAGGGAAGTGGAAGGTCGCAGGCTTGAGGCCAGCTGCGTTACCCGTCGTGACTTCATAGTTTTGAAATTCCAAGACGTCCCCGGTAGATGGATTCCTCGGTATCCCGGCGCTGACGCAGGAGTGTTGTCGCGGGTCAGAAGGTCAAGTAGAATTGTCGCTGCAGGCACCGTGGCAGCCGTGGCCGGCGCCGGTGGTTGCAGCGGATTTCCAATTCAGAAAGCTCCGGACCCGCTCTGGTTGTTGGTGGAGAATTCGCCATTTCACGTGCGTTCTTGGCGCCTACTAGCACTCCCTGACGTGGTTTCAGCCAGCTGCCCGTTGGCCACAATCTTGTCTCGTGATGTCACCGTACCCCACTCGTTCAAGAATGTCCTCAGTTGCTTCATCAGGAAGGAGTGCTTTTGGTTTGTGTATTCGGTGCCCTCTGACCTTGTATATCACTGCCTACCTACTCGGCCGCTGATTGATGGGCATACCGAATTCATTCCCAAACCTGGAATTTGTCTGGCCCCGGGCCCTTCCCATCTTCTCTTCGACTGTCCATGGCTGTCGACATCGATCAAAGGATTATCACGCGGCTCGTCACGCTTGGAGCTTTCTTCCTCGCCTACTACGCTTACTACTCATATCCCACCTTGCCCTCGAGGAAAATCTCGTCAGGGAACGCTGTGTATGATCCCAGCGTCGTCGATGTGCTGGTCGTGAAGGCAATGTTGAAGAAGGCCCTGAGCCTACCACCTGAGATCATCGACTCCATTGTCGACCTTGCCGAGTACTGGCCTCACACCACGAGCGAGGTATCTTTTGAACCACCTATGACCGCCTGCGGTGGCCTGGGCAGGAAAGAAAACATGTTTTTGGTACGCTGCTCAACCCTCGTACCGCCCTTCCGAGTTGGTCACTTACACGGTGCCTTTTCTTAACGTTCTAGCTCCGTTCTCCTCCCCTCGGCCTGCATACCTGGAGGCGTGTCTCTCACCGTACAAATGACCCGAAACCCGTTGACAGAGCGCCGTTGAAGCCGCAACCCCCCGGTGAAGAGTTCTCTGCCGATGACTTTCAGGCGCTGATTGCATCGCCCATACCCCTGCTGGCCCACCCCTGTCGTCGCATCGTCTTCACTTTCAAGAGCCATGATCAAGGATGGGGAGGGCTCCCTAACGACCGCGGCACATACTTCGGCTCCTGGACGTGGTTCGAAGCTGGCCTGGAGCGGTGGTGTAAAACTAACCCCGCCCAGACCGACTCGGCAACCCAACAGGCCCAGCAAGCCCCGCAACCATCGCTAAAGCTGGATGACCTCTGCACCGTGCTCCCGGAGGTAGAACAGGGCCCGAATTCTCACGGCTACGCCTACAACCACACGTTGCATCCGCGCGAAGATCTGAAGATCCAATGCAATTTGACGGCTGAGAAACAATCGAAAGTACACCGCGTTGTCTGGAGTTACGTGGACGACATCGACCCTGAGCGGGACGTTGAAGCCGCTGAAAGACTTGCAGAGCAGGGCCGGGGCAAAGCCACTGGGAACGCCAAGTTTGTCCGAGACCTTAAATTGGGAGATATCGTGACCATCTGGGCCAAGGCGAGGTTCGGAAACTGGAGAAATGCGGTCGAGTGGGTCAAGATGGAGGTATTTTATGCTGTTTGAGGAACTTCAAAGCGCTGCTGCCAATTTATAACCACGATGTCTTCTACACATTAAACATGGCTTTACCATGGCTTTCTAGCAAGATAAGGCATGCATCCTAGTATCTCAACACGCATCGCCGGATTTCTCAAGGCAAAAGGGCCGAGCACATACCAGCTGCCCAACGCCCATCGACGACCGCAATTGTCTTCTGTCATTGGTCTCATCCAAGACAGTAACACTGACTGAAGGCGGCATCTTCCGCCCACCAGCCAGGGAATCTCGGCTCAAAAAGACTGCGCTCAAGAGTCTTGCCTCGACCGCCAGCACAAAGGCACGGCCGTGGTCCTGCACAAAGCAGACGACCGAAGGCCAAGCTGTGGGCCGATGGTCCAGCTGGGAGTCCACAAGGCTAGTGTTCCTGCTTTGTTCATCCGAGCTCTCTGCCTGCTCATCGAGAGACAACAGTTTTGGGACTCTGAAACAAAACTCCTTTCGCAGCGTTTTATTTTCGCCCGGCCTATCCCGCGCAGCCAACACCACTTTCACCTCCGAGACATCATTTCTAAGCCTCGGGCCGAGCTCAAATGTCTCACATCACCAGTTCTTTGGATTGAACCCTCCGGTCATGTTGACTTGGACGGACTTGGTTTGTAACGCAGTTGTCTTTCTAACTTGAACTCACTGACACTATCGAGCACGACAAAGACAACATAGCCATTGAGCTCCTTGGGAATTTTCAGTGGAGTTTACATTGCTTGGTCATATCATAAATCCAGGACCTCTGATCTCGCTTTCGAAGTCATCCCCCAGACTTGACGTTGTATACGGAACTTGTTTATAAGCAACTCCATAACCGCAAGAAGAGGGCACAGGAAGATTTAGCAATTACTTGTGTGGATGCAGTGGAATACAGTTTTCGCCTTCTCCAACCCACTCCGCTAAACGGTGGTCCCAGGAGCACGCGGAAACCCAGCGACCATGATGAGTCAAGCAGCAAAACCGTCCGCCGTTCCATGTAAGAAGACAATGGCCCTACAGACCAGCAGCTCACCCAGAACGCACAGCAACCACTCAAAACATTTTCCCATCGCACATTTTCTTCGTTTACTCTCTGTGATACAGGAGGATATGGGTATGGTACGGTTAATGAGACATGCCTCTTCATCTTCACTTTGCTCTTCTGTGCCTCTTTTGCCATGCAGGCTCTTTGCCTTTTACATTCGCTCCGTTCGCTTTCCTCACAAAAAAAAACAGCAGACCAGACCAGCCCAAGTACCTGAACCTGAACCAGAGCCAGAACCATGGTATCCCGTTCTATAAGCCAATGATGCACAAACAGACATATGAGAGACTATAGAGGAGGACACAAGGAGACATAACAATGCATCTTTGCCTCCCCTGGATAACACACAGTGGATGAAGGAAACCGATGCCGACCACCCGACCATCCCCGCCCAGCCAATACGCCCTTGGCGAACCTGAGTCTGAATCCTGCCCCGGCCGGAGACTCCCCTGTCCGTGGAAATCACCACAACCGCCATCATCATCCACACCGCCGGAGTGCCCATCGCTAGTAATCCCAGCAAGTCACTTCGCTCGACCGCCTCATAGGCTATCCTCAAACTCGGCCAGTGTGGATAGCACGGTGGTCGTCACTCCATGGTTCATGGTATCGGGCGCTCTCACCCATCCTCGAGAAGACTTCTCCAATCTCAACCCAATAAAGATCATACGCTTCCCCGAAACTTCAGACAAAGCCCGTCACCAGCCTTAAATGCGAATCATGAGGCAGACGGCAGAACAACCGGCTCAGTCAGATGGCGAGGAATCCTGAAGGAGGAGCTGTCCAACACAACAAACAAAGGCCCTCAAGTCACCTCCCGCTGATCTGCTGGTGGACCACCACAACGACCAGGACCATGGACAACAGATTATCCAAGAAAGGCCCAGCCAACCCCATCACATTGGCCCTTGACCGTTCCAAGCTGGCCGGGGCCTCGAGTCCGACGCGGCACCAAGGGGGTGCGCACTCAGGGCAAGACACTGCATCACCACACGTGATGAGCGACCTGTTCAGCCACCCTTGCGGTCCGCATCATTCTTAGGCGGCTGCTCGCTCTGCGGGAAACCGTTGGCGGCAGCGTGCTTCAAATCCGCCGCGGCCTTTTTCCGTGACTTCGACTTTTGCCAGCCGCCGAAACTCTCCGTCTGGCTCTTCGCGGCCCGCACATGTCCGTTTTCTCGCGCGAGTCCGTTGATCCTCTGATCCTGAATGGGGGAGCGGGTCGCGGGGGGGTCCTGCTGCGGCCTTGCCGACGAGGAACCGTTCACTTGCCTGCTCGCCGTTGCCCTCTGAGAGGGCTTAGAGTGCTCGGGGCGAAGCTCCTTCGTTGATGCTGGCCCTTGCGACTGAGCAACAGGCGACGGTTCAAACTTTCGTGCAACTGTCGGTGATGGTGTCCGGTGCTCGTAAACGGGCGAGAGATGCGGCAACTCCCGTTGAACCGCATAGTTCTCCGTGGCAAGATCCAGGGGCGCCAGTTGTTGTCGGCTGTGGATTTTCGAGAATCCTGCCAAGCCGCTCGAGTCGCTCACTACCGCCGAGTAAGGGAGGTGAAGACCAGCTCCCAAGGCAACCCGCTGCTGAAAGGATGCATCTAGGAGATTCGACATGGCAGATGGAGAGCGATTTGTTGATGAGCCGTTCACGATCACTGGCCGCTGCGGAGCGGGGGTTGTGACCGGTTCAGCACTGCTGGGTGACGGGGTGGCTTGCTGTTCTGGCCAAGAGTTGTCGGGGCTCCTACCCTGGTGAATATGCAAAGGGTTGTCGTGATTGGTGTCATTCAGATCGAGCGGCTCGGCCCCGGCTGTTGGGTTGCAAGGGCCAACGGTTGGCGCCGCTTTAGAGGCGGTTCCGTTGACGATTAGAGGTTTCGAAGGGAGCTTGCCATTACTTTGAGGGAAGGGTGCCGAGATGAGCGGGGCTGAATTCATGCCCATGGACACAGTCCTAGTATGTCCCAAGGGCGACGGCGAACGCGACGTCCGCTTCATTCTCCGATCAAGTACAGACTGTGGCAGTTGATCAGTCGACAACCGACGGCGTGCCCCTCCCCGGCTGGCCTGGCTTGGTTCAACGGGTGCCCCGCCATTGCTGGGGAGCCCGTTCGCTGGCCGGCTTCGGTTTGCGTAGTCGTTCACATAGTAGCCGATATAACGCGGACCGTCATCCTCGGGTGGTGAGTCAGACAAAACCCTTGTTGCCGCGTCATCAAACCCCAAATCACCGGTCTCGTCCGGAGTGAACCCCGGCATAGACATGTCGTTCATCTGGCGCGCCAGTGATGAGACCACGCCGTTATAAGACTGACTGGACGTCGAATACGCGGCCATCGATTGTGAAGCAGACGTCGGCGTTCTCGAAGCTGGCTGGGATTGCGACCTAAGGGCACCGCTGCCAGGCGACTGGTCAGTGTCATTCGCTGCTGTGTTTCGATGAAGCCTCCTTCGAAATTCTGACTGCCCGTTGGATTGTGGAGCTGACGTTGCCGGAGACGAAGGATAAGTGGTGAATCCAGGGTGGAGATACGGGGCGTGTTGGATTGGGAAACCAAAACCATACATCAGATCCGGTCGAACAGGGGCTGTCAATGGCGGGTTGTCGAAAGAGTTGGTCCGAGACCTGTCGGTGACCGACCCGTTCTGTAACCGCTGAGCATGAGCGAGAACCTGCTGCTGGCTGAGAGTGTACAGCTGGAACCGATGCATTGTCTCCTGCGCCGCTAGCGCGTTGAGCGACGTGGTCAGAAGCTCCTGAGGCACGCCAAGCTGAGGGCTCTGGGTCTGATACCAGAGGATATCTTGGGGATTCACCGTAGGAGGCATGCTCGTCTGCGTGAAGGCAGGGTTCGTCTCGTAAGCGACACTGGACGATGACCGGCGACCTGCATTCCCATTCCGGTGGAACTGCCGACTGCTGCGGTACCCGCCACGGAGGCGGGCTCCTTGCTGCTGTGAGGCACTCCTCAGGAGAATCGGTCTTGGCGCCGGCGCTGGTTTCTGCCATATTCTCTCCTCTTCCTTGGGAAACACGTACTGCTCGCAGCACTCGTCAAATTTGCCCTCGGCGATTTTGTCGAAGGCACGCCGCAACTCCAAATGGAGCCCCCGAAACGACGTGTCGTCAGCCGTGTTCCCAAGGTTGCGTATTGTGTTAAATGGCTCCTCGACGCAGAGGGCGTTGTTTGAACCAATGTGCCACTTCTTTTCCGTTTTGGTCAACAGTTTTCCCGTGCGTATTGACAGGGCGTATTTGTCGTAGTCAAACTCGTGGGCATAGAAGCGGAAAAATTGGAAGAGGAGAGACGCCAAGCTCTCCTCGTTCTTCGAGCCAAAACCACGCAGCTTGGGAATGTCATCAGCAAACTCGCTGCGCGTTCCGTCCTGCTTCAGCAGTTTCAGATTATGACGCTGATGGAGGGCGGGCAATATCGGAGGCTCGCGTAACTGTAGAAATGCAATAATCAAGCAGATCCAGGTGTAGGAGCTTAGAGTCCCGCCAAACGCTGTGGGGTATATGTGAGAACTTCGAGATGGAAACGTAAATTGACCTGGGGCTGCGAACCTGCATCATTGATGATCCTCCTGCGTGTCCAGTACTTGATGATCATGGCCAGAGGCCGCACACGGTCGTCAATACTAACATACGTCCGCACCATCCGGGTGTTCTCCAGAGCTAGCGTATTGTTGACGTTCATGTCGCACGCCAGCTTCAGCTCGGGGTCCCAAATCTTTACGATGGGCACCTTTGCCGAGGAAACGCAGACAACCTTCTCCATGCCGTCTAAGAAAGTGTTAGCATCTCGACGAGAAAACAGCACCAAGTGAGCTACCTACGTCGCTGAAGGAGATCGGCAATCAAGCAGACGCTCTCCAGCTCCCGCCAGGGAGTCGTGATGCAAATGTCGACTGCAGTAAATGTCAGCGCGGGGCCAGACGAAGGCTTCTCAAGTCGCGTACCATCAGAATCATCCGAACATAATAGGTTGCCAGACGAGCCAAACAGGTGTACCTGGATGTCGTGCCCAGGCCACTCGTTGTTGAACAGTTGCTCCAGTTTGCTAACCAGCTTCCGCCGGTTGATCTCGATCGCATCAGTCGGTAATAACCTGTCGTACAACTCCCGCATATCGGTTTCGAGCTTCCTCTCCTCCTCTTCTGATAGCTTGCTCTTGATTTTGAGCAGGTCCACCTTTTCGAGCTTGTCTGTCCCCAGACTGTAGGGCATCCGGCGGCGCGAATGGGGTACCGCCGTCTCAAAGCGGCAACCTCCAAGCCTTGGAGGAAGTGGGCGTAGAGACGGCACGTTGCCGTTCGTCTCGGAGTAGGCGGAGCGCGGCGAGTGGTTCTGCGTGGCACCTGGTGAGTGCTCGCGAGACTCGAACGAGAATTTTCGAGGATGTTGATGCGGTGTTGACGGCACCGAGCTTGATTGGGCTGCAGCAAAAGGTGCGCTCTGGCCGGACGAGAGTGGTAACCGGGCAGACGCCTCCCGGTTGGGAGGTTGCACAGCTTGTGCAGCTTGCGCGGGCTGCTCGGACGACTTCTTGGCCGACATTTTGGACGACTGGTCCTTCCCCGATTTCATAAGCGCGCGGTCGGCGGTTTCTGATAGCTTGGCCGCTCTGTTCCCATGACAGCTCTGCGAGGCCGGTTTCGTATGGGTATTGTCCTTGTTCGACACCTTGGAAGACGACCGCGAACGCGTGGAGGGCTTCGGCTGCGGGGAGGAGAGCACAGGAGGGAGTGGCGGGGTTTGTAGACTACCTCCCCCGCCACGGCCGGCCGAGACGAGCTTGTTGTACTGGAGGAGCTTATCCTGGTAGATCTGCTGAGGGAAGAGGATAGGGAGGAGCTCCAGCTGGGGGCTGAAGTAACTCGACGAGGATTCCTGCGGTGACGTGGGTTTTATCCTTGGAGTCGCCGAGGTAGAAGACGTGCCCGACCAGGGGTGGGACTGGTAATGATGCTTAGATTCAGCCGTTGCAGGCTGACCGTCCATGAAGTTGAGCGGCGCAAGACACCTAGCTGTCAAGACCACGTCTTGGTTCTCTTGATTGCCCTCCAGATATGAGCCAGGGAGTGGCGTTGCCCAGTGCTAGCCAATGACTCGCAACAGATGCACCCTGTCGACCGGTTCCTGCAAGTGCAAATTGTTTCTGCTGCAGCGCTCTGGCCGTTCCCGGATCTCTTGCGCAGTTGGTTCGGCTTCTCGGATCGACACTCAGGGATAGGCTTTGCAAGGCCGGATGGAACGTCGAAACTCGATGTAGCAACGTTTCGCCTCGAGTAGCACCCCCAGGGGCCGGAGTGTGCAGCAGTGAACCGAAGCGCCCAAGATTCGGGATACTATTCGTGCAACGGCAAGAACGTCGTGGCGAATCTAGCAAGTTTCTTCAAGCGCCGGTTATCAGCTGTTAATCTTTGGCACCTAAAATCGGACGTAGACAGCTGGAACAGACCCAAGTTCTCGCAGGCGCTGTCACGAGGGGTCGATAGTCAGTGAGCGTCAACACTTGGGTTCCGGAGATCGATCGAATCGGGCGGCCGGTAGACGGGGTAGAGAGTGATGCTGCGCCAGGGCAGTAGTGAATCTGGGGTCGGATCGAGAGGCAGTCGTGCGAACAGAGCGTGATTCGAGATGTGCGATCAAGGACGACTAAACGCCGAAGAAACAATGCTGGTCATGGAAAGAAGGCGCAAATGTTGGTCAACGGACGCGAAGTAACCGTGGAAAAAGCCGCCTCCCAGGAAAGAATACGAGGGAGTCCAAGGCGTGACGATGTTTTGAACGATTCGACCCAAGCGTGTGCAGACCGTTGTGGGCGTCTCGTTTCGAGGGCAGCGCCGGTCCGAGACTTGGGGGCGAGGCGGTAGTCGGGTCTCTCAACCTGCTAATCCCGGTCAAGAGGAGATGGATGCTGGCCAGCGTCGAGCTGGATGTTTCAGCAGCACAGGGCAAAAAACGGCCGCCAACAAGGGAAGTAATGGTAAGGTGGAATGGGGGTGGTTGCAGGCGGACTGGAGGTCACTTTTGGGATGACAGTTTACCCGTTTCCATTGAGCAACGCGGGTCCTTACGGTCATCGGTCGACGCTGCGTTCATCACAGGGGGAAAGCTGGGCGCCCGCTGCTTTGTGAGCAAGTGCCACCACTCAGGGCCAAGGCTAACAAAAAGGAGCAGCCAATATCAAGTCTGGGCCGCTCCACAACGGGCAGCGCCGCCTCCACAGCGACAAGCGCAACCATTCAAGGGACCAGTCTCAGAGCAGAGAAGAGCCCCGCCATGACAGCAGGGCCCTCGGATTTCACGTTGGCGGGAGGCAGGTTCCAGGGTCCTGACTGCCGAAATTCACACAGAACAATCTCGAAAATGATCATTGATTGCACCCGCCTCCATTCCTTGCATCGACTTCTTCAAGTTTGCATGGCAAGCAAACTCACACGGTCCATTAGACAACATTATTAGGTATCCAGCTCATCTGTGGCTGAAGATGATTCCCTAGCACCAAGTTTCTCGCTTTGTTCTTTTGATTCACTTTCAAGGTCCCCTTCCCATTCCCCGCGATCTGAGGTCAGTGCTTCTTCCATCAATGCATCCCACTTGAGCCAACCGAATTGAGAGACTTTACATTACATACAGGACCCAGGTTCATGAGGCAAGGAAGCCAAGTTGACTGCCATGCAGTCAAAGGGAACGGCAGTCACTCTTCTCTTTGTACTATCAGGCAATATGGCTTCATTCAAGCTGCCACTAAGGTATCATGCACGCAGATAAGTACTCTGGTAAGCTATTGTAAAAAACAATACGATGTGCACAAGATACGGGAGGCTAGGCGAGGTAAAATACCTTACCAGTTTCATATGTTCCTTCCCGCAATTGCTGTTGGGAGCTATTGCTGGCAAGTCCGACTTCACTCTCTCTTCGGTCTCAACTGCCAGTCCTTTACTTCATTCTTCGCAGGCCCTTTAACTTGGTCATCTAATGCGTCTCTCTTTTTCCAACCTCGCAGCCGCTCCCTCCTCTCAATCTCAAGACCATCACACCGTCGTCCAGTTACATGGCATGGTGTCCCAGACGTGTTACAACTTAGTCCGTTCGACAGCACCGTGATCCTAGTTGTCTCTCAACTGAGTCTCTCGTTCGACCCAACAGTTGCTTTCAAGATGAATCCGTGGTCATATCAATTGAGCCGTAGCGTAGGTGAGGCTGGCCGTTCGGACCAACCCCCCCCGGCCCCGGTCAGTCATCGGCGAGGGAATAGCCATAGATCTACCCAGTGCCGCAGATGAGCATCTGGAATCCGTCAGCAGCAACCTACACACAACTGGGCCCGAACGGGAATGGATGTAGGATGGCTCGCTCATCAACACATCCAGACTAGCTGGCCAGCCAATGGTCGTATTCGCGTCTGGAACTCCTCGGACTGCATGGACGACTTGCTCCCTTGCATCGCCTGAGCTGGGCAATTCCCGAAAGCCAAAGCAGCACAGTCATCAAGGTATTCTGCATCACCCACGTGGTGCTTACCTTACACAGTTCGTTACCTTGCTCAGCCTGGCACTCTCCGCAGATGGACTTCCGAGTACGAGGCCGCCCTTCATAGCAGGGACCAGAGCCTTAACTAGAAGGGCCAGGCAACCGCTTCTGCGCCAACGATGCTTCTCTCTTTGACGAAACAACACTGCAGCCACAGTCCCACCGAATCTGTTTTCTCCATGTCTGGAGCCTTCCCCTCTTGTCCGGCGCGTCATGTCCGTTGTTCCCCGGATCTCCACACCCCGCAAGCCGGCAGCACACAGATCGGGCAGTGCCAATTTGCCAACCCAGCATTCTGTCGCTCACCCGATTGGCACTCTTCGTCAGTTAACCCTAGCATTGACTAATGTGTATGTGTTCCTTGCACCACAAGGGTCACATCTCGCGGGTGACGCGATATCAGGCCGATCAACCGAGATGCAAGTAAAGGCTATCCTGGTGCCTCAAACAAGTCAGGGCATTGCTCCCTTGTCTGTACACTTGTACATGCCACCGTACATGCCACCCCAATCAATTCCTGACCGGTACAAAGTAACTCACGTCTATTTTTGTCGCGGCACATCAATTCCATGGATCGAGTTAATGCTCCGGCATTCGACGTCATGGGGAGGTCACTTCAGCATTCCAGTCCAGGTCTTGCACAGTGCGAGCCTGGATCTAGCTCGCCAATATCCCACCGACAGAATGAAGATCCATAACAGTGCAGCATACGATCTGCTGAGTGAAACCGCCATGGCATTGTTTCGGAGCCCGTCATCCGAATTTTGTTTTCGGCTTGTTCCTAATTCCGAGCGCTCCGCGGGAAGCAGAGGCGCACCGTTGGTGTGGTGCCGAGGCCGCGTACAGCAGTTCACGTCGAGCACTTTTGGCGGTAGCCGTCCCAGTTCATCCCTCAGAAGCTCATGATGCTTCTCTTGACTGCAGCTCTCTACCACTTCGAGGATGGGCAAGAGACACAAACATTCGGCCGGCGCCAAGACAAGGCTGAAGCCTTGGATACCCCGCAGCCTGACCAATCAATCTGTGTACATTCGTACACCTCCTGGGGTTTAAAAGGTTAGCGCGATACTTGTCCCAGTCAGTTTCCCAAAGAAGCAGCCATTACGTTATTTGGCTCTACAGAATTTCTATCATTCTCCCAAGTCATTCTCCTAATCATTTTCCATTGTAAAGTACTTACAACGAACATCTGCTGGTTATTCCCCTTTGTCCTGTTCAAGTTCGACATCCGACATCCGACATCCGACATCCGACATCCTACATCGTAGATCAATCTCTCTTTATATCCACAGATCCGCACTTCCAGATGTATATCCGCGCTCTATCAACTATCCAAGCATCCACAACTCGCCTGCTGCGGAAGGTTTTTACCGCTTGCGATGTAAGCGAATCCGGCGACTTCAATTTATTGAACTAGCGAGCCGATTTACAACATCGACCAAGGGCCGCGCCCAGGAACTCACACGAGATCAGAAGATAGAGGCGCGAGCCTTGCGTAGCCATACGGAATGGTTCTACCAAGACATTTCCCAGGCCTTAGGAGTGACTGCACGGCAGGTTCAACGAGCTTGTAATGGCCCAGTCACTCCTTAGAAGACGGGCATGTCGGAAGACTTCCATTGATCTGTCCTCCGCAAAGAGAGATCCTCCGTCACTATCTTGAAGCAGACAACCTCTTACGCGAGCTCCCATGTGGCGATCTGAAGTACTACATCCCGGAGGTTGAGCTCTTGAAAGAGACTGAAATCTCAAGGTCTACGATTAATGGCTTACTCGAGAAGGAAACGGCCTTGTAGGATGAACTGACTGATCAGCACCGGGCCGTACGACTCGCCTTTACATACGAGCAATTGTCCCTACGACCTAATCCTAAGGACTAGGAAAAGGTTATATTCAGCGACGAGACTTGGGCTACCAATACCCCTATATGGGAGAGGTGGATCACGATACACGACATTGAAGACCCTCATACTTGGGCACTTCTTCGGCAAAAACCACATGGCTGGATGTTCTGCGGCTGCTTCACTGGACGGCACAAGAGACCCGTGTCACGAGTGGGCGCAACTGACCACTGCGTAACACCCTCAAAAGAGGGACCGTGGTACGAACTGTTCAGTCGAACCAGGAGTTGCGCACATGAACCTCGCACTGTCACTACCCGTAACAACCCGGGTTCTTCTAGGAGAATGGATAGGGGGTATCAACGCTGCGAAGCATCAGCGTTTTGTGCATCCACTTGTATAGCGATTCTAGGAGTCTCACGGCTGCGAGTTCGCCTTACAACAAAAACAATGCTGCTGCCTAATACAGCCCGCTCAACGAGGTGTCTCATTACGGCACTTTGCCTTGAGCTGTTGGAGTAGCCTGCTTGGAGCCCGGACCTTAATCCGATAGATGTCTCTGGCGGTGGCTGAAGAACTATGTCGAGGACCACTACCCAGGTCTTTAGCGACTTAGCCTTGCCGCTCTCTGTACGGCTATTCACGGGGCATGGGATGTGATTTCGGAGGACCTGTAACTACGGCTGGCACACTCAATGCCAGACCAGCTACGGATGGTGATTGCAGCTGACGGTGGATGTACTGAGTACTGAGTTTGTAAGACTTTCCATCAAATTCAACGTACGCTCGCTTGCTACTTTTGGTTAGCTGGTGGGGCAAGTATTGCGCTGACTTTTATAACACCGGTGGAAGTGGATTTGGGCTGACGACCAGGAAGGGGTTCGGTGCACGTGGGATGGTGGGGCACACATCCAGCCTCGCCGAGGTCAGGGGTCTCGCGCTGTGATCCCAAGACAAGCCTGTTGACTGTTCCTGTCAATTGAGCCAAGTCACCGGCTTTTTCTGCGAGGAAATGAGCAGCTGTGCCTCGAGGTTGGCATTTGGCTACATATCCACCTTGATCTTAGTGGTTTGTGCCTCAGTTTCTCAGAGGGGCGGACCGCCTCATGGCCTTCGTTGTGCGCCTCATGTATTCAATAACCCGGCGAAAGGATTGCTGCGTCATTATCTCTGTACAGAGGTACGCGGTTGGAGAAGGGAAAGGGAGGGGGGATATGATAGTGGACTCAAGAGGTGATGAGGTTGGGCCTGTCAGAGGGAATGGGAGCGAATACCAGCAGGTGAACGCCTGGATAGTGGAGGCGAAGGCGCCGATTGTGTGGCATAGAAGGTATCAAGGGCGGATGATGTGATGGATTTGGATGCTATAGTGGAGGTCTTGATCATTTCGTGGGTGAGTTGTGGGCAATAGAACTGTAGAACTGTGAGCGGGTGCGCGGCCGGCCTGGGTGGGCTGCTGGAGTGGGAAAGTATCACACTTGAGGTCTGGCGCCTACTGGGAGTTCTGGTATCCTAATAGTTTTTAGCCAAGAATATAGCCGCTTGGGCTCGGGAAAAGGTATCATGTGTAAGTCAACTTCGGTGTGCAAGCAGATGTCTGTAATCAGCACATAAAGGTATGTACAAGTACACTTAGTCCTGCCCTTGGGGTATGCTACATCCTTGGGCATTTCGGGGTTTTCAATAAATTGACGTTGGAACCAGGAATAATTGGGCAGCGAAGTGAGCTGCGGGAAGAAGCTCCGGCACGTTGGTTGTGAGCCACTGGGCCGCATATTGATGGGCTCATGCCGCCCGCCGTGCATGGCCTGGTGGCCGTAGGCGGCGCAGGGGCCGAAATATCGGACCAACGCAGCGAGCAGGGGTGAAACGCTGACCAGGTAAGGCTGACTCCATAGTAGAACTATGGCCGTCAAGGATGGAGGAAGAGAGCCTAAAGGGGGCTAGAGGGTGTCCCAATCGATCGGCTTCCTCGACGACGATGATGCTGCGGTTCGGACGTTTTAGTACCTATCCACAGATGTAAAGACGGTAAATGGCCCTTGACCTATCGCCAGCGTCCGCACTGAAATACAGCCGCATCAAAGAGAGCAATACCAGAAAGAAACATCTGGGCCCTATCACCCGCACCACCCTTCCCCCCCCCCCCCCCCCGGTTGTGACTGATGCCTGTATTGTGCAAGCAGGTTAGCCGGGACATGATGTCAACGATCAAGACCCAGCCAACCCAGTTAGATGACAGCCTTCGTTTGACTCTGAGATCGGATTCAGTCATGACATAAACACTAACGTGATTCACCATTGACTCGGACACCCCATTGAGTCGGACACATTTTCCGGACTATGCCACTACAAACTGCCAAAAGTCCACCAGAATCTGATGCAATCAATTGAAACTACTCAGAATCGCTTAAGCTATCTATTTCTCCAGCCTCCGAGCATGTCCTTGCATTATGGCCAGTCTTGCGGCAGATGCCACAGAGCCGTAAACCCGTCCGACGCCTCTTTGATGGTCCTTCAATTTCCTCCTCAACGCGCTCTTCCTCGTCCACCATACCTTTCTCTGCCATTTTTTCCCTAGCTTGGCTT